CGTCACCGCTGGGATCTCCGTATCACCCACACAGCTGGGGGGACAACTTCCCCTCATCTCTTTCTACTACCAGCTGCTCTCCTCAGACTGTGGCTCTATCCTGCCACCATGGCCCAGCTGCTGCTGCTGCTCCCCACAGGCCGTGCCTCTACCCCAGAAGGGAGGTAGGGTGGCAGGCTGTGCAGGCAGCCTACGGGAATTGGAGGTGGTGGCCAGGCCAAGGTGATGGGGAAGAGCTATGGCTCAGTGTACGAGTGGCTGTTAGCAGAAGGAGATGAGGGGAGCATGGCCCCTCCCATCCATTACTCTTTGTACCACTGGCAGCACAGCTGACACAGAGTTCCTGGCTGTGGCAGTGGCAGCAACAAATCTTGCCACCCTGTGACGAGTCCCACCAGCTAGACTGCAGAGGCAGTTCCTGCCCATACTAGGCTGCAGCCCTGTGCCTGCTGTGGGTGCACAAATGGAGGGGCTCATGCCCCCCCCCCCCACACACACACACACACTGTAGGGCTGGGGGCAGGGGGAAGCAAGTTTGGAGTGAGGGGCACGAGCAGGGGTGGGGGGCTGTGGGTTGGGAGTGAGGGGCACCAGCAGGGCCAAGGGGCTCTGAGTTGGGTGTGAGAGACCCTGGCAATTTGCGTTGTGCAAATTGCACAATGATGAATGTCACTTGGGAGTAATGGAGGGCCACAGGTTGATATTGCTGTTAATGTTTTCCTGTTGTTAATTATGTCTAAAATTAAGACTGTTCAGTTGCTTTAAGTTGTCATGTGTAATAAATATTTTGGGGCCAAAATACTTGCATGTTTTCTACTTAAACTATTTACTGGGTCGGGACTGACCATCGATGTTTACTAATGCATCCTGGTACAAAAAAGGTTGAGAAGAACCACTGAACTAGATGACTTTGAGGTCCCTTCTAACCCTAATTTTCTGTTTCTATGATCAGTCTCATGCTAAATTCAGATTAGCAGACCGAGGTTTTATTGGTATAGTGATCTGTATATTACATGCTAATCTTATTTCACTGCCTTTCTTCCCTCCTACACTTGGTGCAATAGGAGACAGATTTGCTGTGGACAAACTCAGTGGCTCTGCTTTGTACTTCTGCATGTAACTCTGCAGGACAAAAGCACAGGCTGTCAGATTCAGAGGGAGGACTTTATATCTAGAAGAAATAACATTGGGGTCAGGCTGCTGGCCTGGCTTGGAGCAGGAAGGAGGATTGCAGGCCTTTTGGGGCAGGGACTGTGTGTTCATTCTGTACAAATGTCTAGTCTCCAGCACGGGGGTTGTAGTCCATGACTGGGCCTCCTAGGTGCTGTGGTCATACAAATAAGAAGTCATCTGTGTTTCTGTCTTTTTTCCTACAGTTCTGACAAAGTACAGGTGACACTTAACCTTGATGGAATAGTTCAGGTGTTGGACTATCACCTTCATGACACATCCATTGGGATGATGACCAGAATTGCAGTTCTGAAATGGCTCTATCACTTGTACATCAAGACTCCTCGTAAAGTAAGTGTGGAGTTTGCTTAGTCATTGATACAAAAGCCTGTTGCCAGCTTCAGTCTAGTTCCTGGTGAACACTTAAGTCCCTATTGCCTAGCCAGCGTGTAATCCCTGTTTAGCTCACTGACTGCCATTCTTTGCAGTCTCAGCCGGGACTGAAGGTGGGGGTGGGGAGGGGCACCGAGCATTACACTGTAGAGGTGAGATGTATTAGCTGGGTTCTGCTGTGGAGACCATGGCTATTATAGCAAGATTCTGCAGTAGTCAGTTGGGGCCAGACTCAAATTGTAGTCGGGCTTTTGAGGTGTGATGCTGGATATGGGGATGAGGCCATAGGTATTAGTGGGGAGCTGGAAGACTGATAGAGCTATACAAGAAGTGCTGTGTACTTAGCTTCTGTCAGAGCCATCATTCTCAGTGCATTCATCACCTAAGGTATATGAGCAGTCAGGGGCCTTTTAGTTTCCTTCTAAAAGTTCAGTAAGGCCAGCTGGGCTGCCCAACATTAAAAGGCCAATGAAGCTGGAAAAAGCTGTGCATGAAGACCTGAGCAATGTATCTTTGTTCCAAATGAGCCAGTCTTCTTGTGGGACAAAGCTTCTGCTTTGCTTCTAAACTGACTTCCCAGGTTTCCACTTGCTTGGAAGTCAGTATTTGTGTTCTTCAGCCAGTCATCGCACATGCCTTGGCCATTCAGGTTGTGTCTTCCCCTACCTTCATTGGTGGGAGAGGGTGGCCACAGAACTCCCCAAATGAGCACCACTCCACTGTGGGCACTGGACTGCTAGGGAAGTCCTTCTGAAGGAGAACACCTCAGTGCAAAGGGGGTTGGTGCTGATTTGAGGAGACCTGTGCTGACTGCCCTTTTCAGCAGTTCTTCCCTAAAGACTGAAGGTTTGGACTTCAGTGAGACCAAGTGATGCAGTAGGTATATGTTAGGTTCTGTGTTATCAGGGCCCAAACCCATGTGCTACAAGCATCTGTATTGCTTATGTGCCATGCTTGGGAGCATCTCCATGAAGCGCACACTTCCCACTTGCTGTTCGTCCACACTTGTCTCATCTCAGAAGTGAGATGGTGTAAGCGTGTCCCTGCAGTCCGTGCCCTGAACAGAGCATGTGTACCAGCAGGGCTGTAGTGAACACATGCAGTGTTCACATGTGTGCATTTATGTACACCAGTCTTACCTTAAGCTTTTAAGAATATTCGGGAGGAGAGAGGGAAGAAGCTTGCTTGGCCTTTATAGACTGATGTTGTTCCAAGCACATGTGAAGGGGAAAGCCCCCTTTCCCCTCCAGGTGAAGCCTTGCCACTCCCCAAATGTAGTCCAATCCTTGTGGAGCACTTTGGCCAATTCTCTGGTGGGAGCAGCTGCCTTTTGCATATCAGGTCTTGTTTAACCATAAGCCTAATTAGAAGGGAGGTGGAAGCTGATAGAAAGCACACTAGCAGCAGCTTCTCATGGTAAGAGGCTTAAACAATCACCCCTCTTCCACCCCCCCCTCCATTTCCCACCCTTACTGTCTTCCAAAAACTACATGAGGTCTCATAAAGACCCCCTCTTTATGTCTTTCCTGGTCTTTGCTCTTGGGGAGGGTAGCAAAGTGCTGCTCTTGCCCCATGCTAAAAATTTGCTTTCTAATCACACAGGTATTTGATCAGCTCAGCAGGCCAGTAACCATGTGTCCTTCTGGGATTGTAGATATTTTCCTATTCAGTTTGCTGTTGATACATTTAGCAGAGCCATCTGTGTTTCATTATCAACTTCAAAGGGCTTGCTAGCTAGCTTAGGTAGTAGGGAATTTTCCAGGTAAAAATGGAAGACTCCTGTAAAGAGGCAGTAACCTGCTTGTGTTAGTGTCCAGCTATCTGAGTGGGTGAGGAGGGCTCCAGGCTTTTAGTGACTTCATGTGTCTTGTCTTTCTGTTTTCAGATGTTCCGGCACACGGACAGCCTCTTCCCCATTTTGCTTCGAACGCTGTCAGATGAATCGGATGAAGTGAGTTTCCTGCTTCATGCAGAAGTCCTCTTAAATGTCCTTGCCAGTTGTCAGACTGTCATCTGAACTCTGGATTAGCCTCTGCCAGTACAGATGGGTGGGAAAGCATTAGCATGTTGTATCAGCTCCTCAGTGGAGCCTTATCACAATCAGCCCAGAAGAGTATAATAGCCCTTTCGGTTTCAAAGAGTTTTGTGTGTGACCCTATCCAGTGTCATCTCTTAAGTTTGAGTTGATTGTATGTAAGCTAGTGTCTGGCTTCCAGTTCCACTGACTGCCATTCATACCTCTGCCTTCAGTGTGTGAACTTTTAACAGGCTGGTAACCCTAACCCTAAGAGCTAAATGCCAATGCAGCCTCCTGTTCCTGGCAGGCCATCGTGGAAGGGCATGAGGGTCACCACTGCTCTCATTCCCATTCTGCTCCATACGTGCATAGGAGAGGGAGTCAGAGTCACCTTGCACAAGGCTAACGATATCCTGGAGGCCTCCACCTACTTGTTTGTCAGTCAGCTCTTAGACTCAGCTTTCATGTGTCATGGCTTTTTGTCTTTTTACAGCACCAAAGTAGGTGCCTCTGCAGCAGATCCTGTTGTTAGTGCAGACCAGGAAGCATAGCTTTTATTGTGAAATAGGCACTCTTTATTGTAGTGAAGGGCAGGAGTATAGTTTTGCCCTAACCCAGCTAGTTTTTAGTATAAACTGCTGTACCTCAACTAGTCTCTAACTTGACAGCAAACTAGCTCACTTGAATTAGTTAACCCATTGTAAAGATGAGTAACAACTCAGGCAGTGAAGTCATAGCCTGGATTCAGTATGTGGAACTTTGTGGCTACAGTATTACTCAGATTCACGCGACCCAGACTCCGGGTTTCATTTTCTTTAGCTTCTTTCAGTGTCCTCTGACTTAGAAATCAGACACTACCTCATAGTCTGTGTCAACATGCTTGTGAGAGATCATCTTAGCAGTGCTGCTGGACATGACTGCTTCGCTAACAGCAACAGGGTGGGAAGGCTTGGTTAAACAATGTTGTGTGGGATGGCAATGCTACGTTTTTTGTCAAGGTGATGCGAGAGGAGGGAGCTGATTGGGGGGCGGAGGGGCAGATTGTGGATCTGCTCTTGCTTTGTCACATGAATAGCTGTTTTGACTTGACCTGTTGCAGTTTTGCAATTGAGGCTCTTGACTTGTGGGATTATGCAGCACAAATGAGTCGATATGCTGTAGTATGTCTTATTAGGAATGGAATAAAACAGCTTGGTGGTACATCTAGTGGTCAAAACAGGACCATGAACTGGTTTCATGGGCTTGTCAGCTTCAGAACCAGCAATCACTTTAAAATGATAGGAAAGGCACTTCACTGACACTTTCCTGTGAAATTTACTTCTAAAGGGGGGTGTGTATGGATTTCAGCTCTTATGATGCACTTTGAGGTATTTGGATGAACATTTACTTTTGTCTCCTTGCGGTTCTGCTTGAGCTACTTTGGCTGTAAAGTTGGTGACTCAGTACCTCCTGATGTGAGTGAGTGTTTGAGGTCTCACCTGTCTGGTTTTTGCTTTGGAAATCTGTAAGCCAGAGATGCCACAGTGAGCCAAAAATAGGAACACTTTTCTAAGAGAAAAATGCATGTCCCCAGTGTTGGCCTCTGTGCCTTGGGCTCAGCATTTCATCTGTCTCTGCTGCTTCCCCAGACTGCCATGGGCTGTTTTTGTCTCTTTGTTTCCTCTTCTGTCACCTCTCTATACCACACTTCCTTTTCACATTTTACATGCCCTAACGTTTGTCTCCTTAACCCCATACATCAACTGAGTGTCTAAATTTAACTTCGGCTGTTACCAGTTCTGCCACCTCACTCCTTGGCACCTATTGGCATTGGCATCAAGGGCTGCTAGTACTTTAACTTTTGATGCTAGCATTAACCTGGTGTGAGATGTGTAGTGCATATATCTCTGCAGGTAGTCCTTTTGCAGCTATAGGCCAGGCTTTCCCAGCAGATTAAAAAATCATTCAGTATCTGATTTGTTTTCCTTGCCCCAGCCCCACATCAGTCCTTGCTTAAGGAGATTGTTGAGAGAGGGGAAGAGACCTAAACAGCAGGGAAGAGGCTGGCACTTCCAAAAGCCTGTGTTTTCTGTGCTCTGCTGCTTAAGATGCAAATGCTTTTGGACTCTGGGAAGCACGTATCTGCCTTTGCAATGTCCTAGAAAACCTGCATCTTGCAGATAGACTCTGGCTTGGCAGGAGATTGCAATGAGTCATGTTGCAATTACTTTGCTTATTACTGTTTTAGAAAAGCAGCGCAGAAAGGACCCTGGTGATGCATTTCCTCTGTATGACATAACTGGGCAGCTCAAAAGTAATTTTAAGCTGATTTATTTAATCCACTCTATTTACTTAAATCTCTTTTTCAGAAATCCATAGAAGATCCACTCCACTAAATATTGCTGATCAGCTGGTGCTCAGCTTTGCTTGCTTCCTTCTGCAAAGCAAATGTGAATGATCAAAATAGCAGTACTTTGGGACCAGTTGTTTTGGAGCTTGTAGGGGGCATGAAATGGTGAATTGCAACTGCAGTGACCGCTAGGTTTGAAGGCTGAGAGGTGTTTCTGGCACTGGTTGGTTGTGTGTAGGGGATGAGGGCAGGTTTTTTCCTGCCTTGGCCAAATATCCCAGCGGCTAGAACTTGCCTGTAGGCTATAGGCCTTCTTACATAGCACATAGCACCTAACTGGGTTTTGGATGGAGGTTTCTTATGAAAGTTGGGATGATGGCCAGTTTTTCCTCCCCCTGTATTAATGTCTGCTTCTCCAGGGTGGCATTTAGGATAGGACCTTACCACTTTAAGGCTTTGTACACACTGTGGTGCAGCATAATTTTCATGTTCCAGCTTTGCTTTGCCTAGAAGCCTCCTTATTCTTCCTGTTTTCTTCCATTCAGCCAGACTGCCTCTCTGAGGGAGCTTTCCTGCACTAGAGTGTAAGGTACTAGAGTCCAGCTTGCTCTGCAATGTCACTTCTTGTGGGATTAAGCATGCCCGTGAGGAGAAAGCAGTACCAGCCACAGGTACTGTAGCACAGTTGGACGGTTAGGAATTGTCCTTTTAACACACCTCCAAGCTGTTTTGCAGTGATTGTCCCTTGCAATGCTGAAGTCAAAGTAGCATCTGGCTTCTCAGGCCCAGCATGATCCCAGTAGCACACCTGGATGCTAGGCTGAATCCCCACATACATCCTGATGTAAGATTGTCCTTTCATGTCATCTTGCTGCAGTTCAGTCTTCTTGAGGTGCAAGTCTGTCTACACTGTTTTCAAGCAGTTTGTTCCAAAGCAAGAAAAGAACCGCAAATAATGAGATCCTGGGATAGGAGCAGATCATCTTCCCAGTATGTTCTTCAGCTCCCTTACAAGTTTTCAGTGCAGTTTTGAAGAACAGAATTGCTGTCCCAGAGACTCCATTCTAAGCAGAAGGTAGTGTTTGCTGATCCACATCTACCTGCTGACTCGGTCTCCCCGTCCCTACATAGTTCTCTGGCTTCTGCTAGAAATGGCCAGTAAGTAAAATCTAGTTAGTATTTAGAGAGAAGTTGCAGCAGGGAAAAGTAAGCTGGAATGAATTTGGACTAGGCAGCTCTGCTTTTGGGAACTCTACTAGTAGCAGGTAGAGTAGCAAGCTGTCAGAAAAAGGCCTTGATCTAAAATGCCCTTTCAGTCTTGCCATTGTGGTTTCACTAGTTTGATGCAAAATTTCTTGGGAGGGAAATGCTTTTCCTTGCATTTCTGTTCTGGTTCGAGTTCAGTTTTTATCATCACTTCAAGATGATGTTCAGATCAAAATGTACCCAAAATATTGCTGGCCGGGGGGAGACTACCTCTTGCAGGATCCAGGACTAAAAGATTTCTCCTGTAGATCAGCTGAGATTCCTAAGAAGATCCAGTGTCAGCAGCACAAATACTGCAACCTTGTGCAAGTGCATGGGAACCTGAAAGTGAATCACTGCAAACTTTAAATCAGGGGTATTAAATTCGCTGTGGGCCCCAGACCATATCCAAACCACAGAGGCTCCTTGCAGGCCAGATTCAGCCTACAGTGTGGAGCAATGGCAGTGGCCCCTGTGACCGTATTGGGGCAAGTAGCTGCTTCCCATGGCAGGGGGTGTGTAAGCAGCAGCAGCCAGCCACAAAATAACTACAACTGTGTTTCATGACCCTCATTCTGCATAGCAAGGAGTGGTTTGGGGCTGCAGCAAGGAAACCAAATCAGATGCTGAATTCTGTGCGAAGCAGAAAGTATTCATTTCAAATTCAGAGGGATAGTGATTTGAATCACTGTCCTGGTTTGATTCAGCCAAATCTGAAGATATTCTGAAGATAGTGCCGGCAGGAGCAGCTGGGGAAGCAGCCAGACAAGCCCTGGCTTGAGCCAGCAGCCCTGGAAGAAGCTGCAGCTCATCCAGCTGCCGCTGTGCGCCCCCCCCCCCCACCCCCGGGGTGAGGCAGGCAGTGCTAGCAGGCCCAGGAGATGCCACAGGGGCTGGGGGGAATGACTGGGGGCTGGGGGAACAAATAAGGGCTTCCCCCCAGCTCCCAGTTCGATTCCCTCCAGCCCCTGCGTCTTCTCCTTAGGCTGCCAGCACTGCCTGCTTCGCCCTGGCGGTGGGGCAGCTGGGGGGGGGGCTGCTGGCTAAAGCTCCCACCAGCACTGCCTAGTGCCTGCCTGTACAGTTTATGGCACTATCTCTCTGAATCGATTCAGGGGCTTCTGATTTGATTCAGAGAGATTTAATGCATCTCCCGATTTCAGTTCAGATTTGGAGATTCAGCTGCCGAATCAGGCCAAAGCTCCTCAGAATCAAATCGGCTACCAAAGCTTTGCACAGCCCTAATACTGAATAACTTTTCAATCTGCTGGGAAAGCCTGGCCTGTAGGTGCATCAGGACCACTTGCAGAGAAATATGCACTACATAACTCACACTGGGTTAGAGTACTACCAGCGCTTG